GCTGGTGTCCTTCCGCCATGATGACCATGATAATGTAAAACTTCTCGACTACATCGAGGAGAAGCCATGTTTTTCCGGCAATCAAAGTACCAAAAGTGGAAGAATCATTTCATCTAGGTAAAGTTGGGAAGGGGGGGGGGAGGGAAAGTTAAGGTGTGAGGCGTGGGAGGTGGGAGAAGGGGGAGGCTAGGAAAAAGAGACGGAACGGTGACGCACTGGGACACGGCGATTAATTTTTCTTCTTTCAATCGATTGCAGCTGAAAAAAAAAAAAGAAAGAAAACGTGTTGTGCGTGGCATATCTGCAAACATCTTTGAACTGAAAGACTCGGATCGAAGGCTGAGGAATGCTACAGCTGTCTACCTCCAACCTAAATGACTCCCGAGTACCTCTAACCTCAATGACTGGGTACCAGACTCCCAGACAAACCACAGGGAGGGAGGTCACGAACTTACGCTTCTCTTTGAACCCTTCAATTGAAATGTATTTCCATTTCGAAAATGGATACGACCCTATCGATCTTGTTATTCAATTTCGCCAAGAAAAGAACGTGGCAAAGGATATCGGATTAACGCAAAGAAGCCACTATCTCGGTTTAATAGAAAATCTTGTTTGCCATTTCCATGAGATCCGAAACGTGGAGTCGACAACCTCCATTCGTACAGGAATGTCAATGGAATTGATAAAGATGAAGATGTCCGACGAGGCCGAAAGCGTTTTAAGTCACTTGAATGATCATAACCTGTCAAAGTTACCACAGCGGAAGAAACGACTGAGGAAAAAAACTTTATAAATACCCCTGCAGTGGGAGTATGTAGTTTCCAAAGTAACGCACGAGACGGAGTCAGGAGGAGGGGTCAGGCAAGGTTTGGGGACTCTGATATTTTCTGTCCAAAAATTGTCATATTTGCCACCCCTGTTACAACACCGAAATTGGTAAAAGTTTTAAAATCCCTACCTTAGGGCAGGTGAGTGCGGTCATTTATAACGATTGCCAAAATTTCTCATGCACCCAAGGGACAATGACAGAAAATCAAAATACCTACATTGGGGACTGCCCTCACAGTCAAATTTCCAAGGCTAGCCTGACAACCCTCTTCTTCTTGGGCTTTATGTTAAAAGGTGCATTGAGAACATGCCAATTAACTTAGAGAAGATAAGCTAAGCCTGCCATTGTATAAAGCGCAAAATTAGAATTTTAGGTCAACTCCACTGTCTGGTTCTGAAAGTAATTGGCTCCTACATATAATCTACATCTATATAGAATATATATAGCACTATGATGTATAAATGTAAACAAACGACATCCATCTTGGTACTCAAAAGGATTCAAACCACAGAGGTGGTGGAGTCTGTTCAGTGGAGTGAGAATGACATCTAGAACTACTTTTAAGATGTTGATATTGGCCCATCCCTTCATATCATAAGAAAATACTTTGGGAAACAATCTGCAACATTGCTGGATTATTTATGAGCACAGCTGTGTATGGGAATCTGGAATTTTATTTGCACAAAACAATGTTACATACGAATAGATCACTCTTTGCAGAGAGATATTTGCAGGTGATACGTTGATGCTTGGCCTATGTAATGATGATCGTAACTACCTGTCATTATGCAATGACAAGCTAAGCAGTCATGATGATCCAAAATAAAATATTCACATATCTATTTTGCTATAATTTTATTTTCAGATTTGCCAGAAGGAATACAATAATCTTTCCAACCATTTGAAGCATGCACATAAGCTGAGTAAGAGTGAAGTTGGAAGCTAAATAGGGAAAAGAATCAGGAAAAGGCCAAAGGAAATCAGCAAAATAAGTAATTTATTACATTTCTCATTGTTCTGAGTTCTGTTTTCAAGAGGATTGTGTTCATTGTAGTTACATAGATTAGTGTTTTCTCTACTGTACACAGCATTTATAACCTTTTTCAATTCACGCTCAATTTGACACAATGCATTCTCCCTATATTTTCAGCAAAACCAAGAGGCCCATGAGATGTTGTCCACTATGGGGATGTACCTGGGTTGGACGACGCTTCGGTTACCACCAACCAAAAGTAGACAATATCGGCAAAGATTCCGAAAAGTACTTGACACTAGTACACAAAAGATGCTAAGTTTTAATTTTATGTTACTTTCTGTTTTATTTGTACTATCAAGCTTCTACAAGTGGTCTTTGTTACAAAGTATAAAATGCATGTAACGTATTGTTATAATATGTAACATAGGTAATAAATTAACAGTACTTTATACTACATTTTGTATTCATTTGTAGAGTCACACACCACTTGGGTTGACCACTGAAAATGATCAACAAATGAACAAAAAAACCTCTAGGCTTATCATTATCTATAGTTTGATAGTAGTAACAGTTTAAGAACTACGATTAGGATTCTCTGTTTGTCAGCTGGCTATTATTGAAAATTGGCTTTCTGACAAGTTCTTAGAAAAAGTATATTAAATTAAAGTATATGTTTGAAAAAACCAAAAAAATTGCTACCAGTTTGAGTTCCTGTTTTCTGTCTACATATACCGCAGTACTTACATATAATTTGGGTGAAGTCATTAGTATAGCATAGTCCATATATATGGTGAATGATAATGATTTCAGTGATCTGAGTGGAAAATGAATTCATGAGCTTTGAGTTTTGATATTTTACACTGTTGGATGGAAAGTTAATTTTTTGTTTCATGGATCTTTCAGTTTTGTCGAAACAGCAATTTAAAGATGTGTTCATATGTGGCACTAGAAACTTCTCAATGTTCTTCATGTGATTTATGATTTTATGCCTTTATAGCCTTGTGCCCACACTGAATTAAAGTACATAAATATTGTTAATTTTTAAATAATAGTGCTACTTCTTAAGGCAGCATATATTGCATTGTTAAATACTTCAGGTATATTAANCAGTGTGTAGGCATTACAAAGGCAAAATATTGATAAGGATTTCGAGAAAATCCTTGCTAAAAAAGCGTACAACGAAATGGCGATGGCTGATCGACCTCTTTTTTGTGCAAAATCGTTACCAATCCCTACAAAAGAATGCTCGATTTGCATAGCGTGTATAAATATGCATTCCGATTGGTAATGAAATGTTTTTAATGACGTGGCCTACCAATCCATATCCATCTTCCTGTTGCAAGAACTTTAGACGCCGACAGCTATCTATGAATCAGACATTAGAGGATAGCTTTTGTTAGGAAGGAAAACGTCTCGCGTGGGTTGGCGAAAAAAAAGGTCTTAAAAAAACACACGAATAGAATAGAATATAATTGAATAATGTTGAATAAAACCATTTCTTACAGCAAACCGTGAAGTCTGAGGGATTTGACAAATTTCCATAAATATTTTACCATATACTTTAATTAGTTAGTAAATGGTCAAAAATTGAAATTTTGTTGGATACAGAACTATGAACAAACTGTGGTGTTTACCTTTTGTTTTATTAACATAACATTGAAACATCGTTACAAGACTTCCCTTTTATTTAACAAATCTTTAAAACAAGCGCGCGGAAAAATAGTGTTAGCATTTGCTCACGTCAGCAGCATACATCAATGGGCAAATAGTAGATGCTGAGTTAACCAATCAGAGCGCGCGCTTTGCTTTAGTTATGTTATAATTAATTAATTTTTTGATCATATATTCAATTTGTTGTCTCTCGATTGACGTGTACCCAGTTATCAACAAATATTTTCCCCTGCCTCGCATCTGATTGTGGTTGTAAATGTTGTGGCAGTCTTGTTTGTTAAAACTGAGAGGTTTTGAAATCGGCCTTCGACTGAACCTGTCAATTCCTTCGTCATTTTCAAAGGTTAAGCGTCCTAATACTTCCTCAATCTCTCTCTTTTTAAGCTATAAATCCTTCTTTAAAAGCTGTTTTTGGATTTGTTACTTATTGTTTAGTTACAAACGAATCATTTTAATATCTGCCATCACATGTCACATCAACTTACTATTTTTTTTAAAAACGTCAGCCCTTAAGTTTAAACGCTCATACGAGGCTACTACTAAACGATCCCTACTGTTACACATATTCCTTCTGGAAAGCGGGAAAGCGAGTTTTATCAACGCTGCTATGCTAGTTCGGCCTTTTTTTCTCTTATTTTGGGCTTTTCAAGGCACCATTTTATTTAATAATTAATATTTGAAATTGTCCACCATTTATCTTCGTAACTTCAATCAAATTCTTCGCTTACACAATTCGAGAAAAACTGTCTAGCCGGTTGTCTGGAGTACAAATACCGCGAGATATTTGTATTGGGTTTAGGCGTTATTTGTACCCAACGAAGCACCGTTGGATGATATTTTATCAACCAACCATTGGTTCATGCTTAGCGACGTTTATCGCGATATGGATGCACGCGTGATCTTTGGAGAGCACAAGCTAAAAAGTCACCATGGTCAGGCAAATATAAAGAAACGAGGATAATGAATCTATTGTTTCTGATATTGGCTAAAGTTTAGATGGACAAATGTCATAGTTACCTGTGCAGTATTTGCCATCGCCTTGAACCCTAACCATGCAACTGCAGTTAAAGGAACTTTCAGTATTGTTGCACTTGGCATTAACGTCGCAGTTATGGGTATTGGGGGTACACTCGTCTAAATCTGAAGAGACAAATTCTTTCCGTTAATGATGTACTTAAAAACAAATAAATGATAAAAGCTTGCAGGTACGTTCATACTGCATGACCTCGGATAATCGAGAGGACTGAAAGCTCACTGAAAGCGTGCTTTCAGTGTGGAATCGTGTTTAGGGACCAGTCGTTATCTATCGGAGGAAGGATGAAGGGGCGGGGGAGATCACATGATTTTCAGGGGAAACGTATACAAAGTGTGATATATGACTCGTTGGTCAGTTAGTCATCGGAAGACATGTCGAGGCATACGAGACCAGAGTAAGATAGACACTAAAGAGACGCATAATTATAGTAGTCAACCTGATTATCAGAGTGTAAGTGCAAAATAACTCTTGCCTTTTTCACAGAATTCTCACGTGTAACCAGGTGGACACACACATTTGTATCCCTTGTCCGCAAATCCAACCAGACAAGTTCCATTGTTGTAGTACATGTTGAAGGAACACTTGTTCTAATGGGCAAGGACATTGAACCTTATTTTTCATAAATTAAGAGACATGCTATTCATGCGAGTGATTTATACTTTTGATCCATGTTTTTGTTTAACAAATTAAGAAGCCAGGACTGTTCTCTTGTCGACGATTTCGCCATTTAGAATTTACATGTTTCTGGTGGAAACAATTCCAAAAGCGCTTTTACTTCTTGATTTTAGTTTTTAAAAATTTTCGAACAAAAATGTTTTAATTTGAGTGGAACGAGATCATTCAAAGGCCGGAAATTTCTGGGGTCTGCGTGCGCTCGAGGCAGCATCACCTCATCTTACCAGATAACGTTAGATGATATGGAGAACGACTTAGAGGCAAGCCTTTGATGGGTACCCACAAGCATTATTTTAGATTTGGTGGAGTTGAGTATTAGGTAATTAGCACTAAGCCACTGAATAACACTCTCTAAATCAGATCACAGATTGGACTCCATGATGTTAACATCGTCACTAGCAAAGTAAAGAAGCGTATCATCAGCATGTAGCTCATCATTAGAATATCTATAAAGAGTAAGGGCCCTAAAGCTCTACACTAGGGACTCCAAAATCTATTTCTTGAAGCTCTGAAACTATTTCATTAACAGAAAAAGTTTGAGAACGATTGGTTAAGTACAAGATCGTCAACCATTTGTTTTACATAGGTCGGCATATCGGCGCTTTTTCAGTTTTTATACATTTTCGAATAAAGATTCATTAACGTGAATGGGACGATCCCCGCGAAATAAGTGCAGACATGGCAAAAAGGAAAAGAATCACTGCAAAAGAAAAACCTCACGGCAAACGAAAAAACCTCACGACAAAAAGAAAAAGACTCAGGGAAAAAGAAATAAACCTTGACGGCAAAAGAAATAGCAATGTCCTCACGGCATAAAAGAAAGCACAGGGGTTTGGACGAGTTGTAGAGGTTATTTCTTTTGCCATGCCGGCTTTCTCTTTTTACCGTGAGCCTTTTTCTTTTGCTGTGAGGCTTTCCCCTTTTGCCGTGAGGCTTTTTCTTTTGTCGTGAGGTAATTCTTTTACCGCATATACGGCAAAAAATTATCATCCAAGAACGCACTTTCTTTGCAAGACTCACAATAAAGGTCAATTTCGTAACCTGCCTTTTTGAAATACAGTGTTATGGGCAATCAGTATCTGACCCTCAAATGAATTTTAAATTTTCTTTTGCCGAGAGTTTACTTTATTTTACCCCGAGTCATTTTATTTTGCAATCCGTATTCCAAATTCCATACGAAAGCGAAAAACGAAAATTGAAATCCAATTTGTTTTTTTACAGCGCAGCGAAGAACAAAAGCGAAAAACGGTTGGCACTAAGATACACCCATTAAATTTGATTTTCATTTTCCTACGCAATTGGAAAATGGTTGGCACTAAGGTACACGCATTGCAAATGAAATTTGATTTTCATTTTCTTACGCAATTGAAAAACAGTTGGCACTATGGTACACGCATTCCCGAGGTCTTGAATATCAAGACAGATATCTCAAGGAAAGTTGAATCGTAAGTGAATGCAAATGCGTGTTTTGGAGCAATCAGTCTGCTTGTTTGCTTTCTGCAATGGTGTGTGCAAATCTGTCTTCCTTCCACCGAAAAGCTTAAGTCAATGAAACTTTTTCCAGCTAGACACAAGGGGATCAAATGCGACTTTTATTCATCGAATTCCTTCGGTTTCTGTTATGAAATTTAGCGGAGAAATGTCTAAATTCAAGGGACTTGCAAAGAAAAGGCGAAAGTATATTTATAGAAAAACTCGACACTTTGCTCAACGTTTCACAAAAGAACAAATTTTCTTGATGAGTTTTGATATTAACGAAAGAGAGTCACTTTCATTAACGTTATTTTTAACTGCAACTACCTCTCGTTTTAACTTTTTGAGTTACTTTTTGTGAAGGGTTACTAGATAACAAATTGTTTTTAGGCCGTGTTTCAAAAACAAATTTAGTAGCTCAAAATTTATCTGGAAATCAATTTTTGCGGATGTTTCATGATGGAGTCGATCTTGATTAATTGATGTAAAAATTTGAACTGCTGCATGATGGTGGCCCTGCCTGTTTTTATTATAACTCGTCTAGAAAGTTTCAAAACGAGTAAACTTCTTCTAAGAATAGGGTTCGCTTTATTTCAAATTTCAATTTTTACTTGCCGAGAAAAAATCAAATTTCGTCCTAGTTAAGCTCGCGTTAAATGTTCACGTAGAGTTTAATTCTAAGCTCTACTGATGAGCTGAAATGTGATATTTAAGATGTTGAATGACCTTTCCTGATTGGCCGATTGGGGCATCTTCAAATACTGCGTGAAACGAATTGTCCTTAAGAATTGATTTGAAAGCGGAAAGTCTTCAACTTTTCTGTAGATGTATAAATAAAAATCATGACACAAGAACCAAGTGAATTCAGATTTATCGTGCCAGCGCCCGTTTTAAATCCTGGATAGAGAAAGGCTGAGCTTTCGATCTGAAATCGAAAAAAATTACCAAAAAC